AGAAGCTTATGGAGAAGGAGAATTTTTCACCTCACTGAAGCTGTAAAACAAAAAGGGAGACAGAAAAGTAGCTAAGATTCCAAAATCTCAGGAATACCATGAATGATCTAATTTAGTTTCATTAGACCCCACTTCCCAAAGAGTCAACCAATTGTCACTACAAACAAGGGACCAAATCTTTAGTACAGTAGTGCTATACCAAACCATAGCAAAGCTATAAGATAACAAGGAATCACCAAGAGAGAGTATATAAGGTAAGGAGAGTAAGATTCATGCTATGAGTTCAGCATTTAAACTGAGGGAAGAGAAAAAAGAATCAGAATAGGAAACTGAGTGGAAGCATCCAGGTAACTGTGAGAAATAGCTAAGTTGTTGAAATGTGAAAACCCTGGTATAACTTTGAGAAATATTCTGTTCTTAAAATTAGCATTATAGATACAATGAGCTTCTCCTGCCTGGGAGCAACGGTTCCGGGATCCTTTCTATTCTCTTTTTGTCTTAAATCTGACTTCACTTATATCTCCCTTCTCATTATAGACTTTTCTCCTGTGTCACCAGCACATAGCACTGAAGTCACCCTGCCTCAGTCACCAAAATCAGCAAATCTCTTTACCTCATTATAGCCTGATTCAACTCTATCTCTTTCTCCTGGTATCATCACAGACTTTAGGTAGGAATGATATAAATTAAGATTGAAATGGAAAAAATAGGAAATCTAGAAATAAAAGTTACAAAAGGAAGAATAACTTCTTTGAGAGTATGGAAGAAGAGAAGAAATGAATTTTAAACTTGCTAAAAAACTAACACTGTCCTGGGAATTCTTAATGAATCTGCTGGTCCAGGCCTATGGGGTGTGTGTGCGTGTGTGTGTGTGTGTGTGTGTGTGTGTGTGTGTATGTGTATGTGTGTGTGTATACATCTATGTAGGTGTGCATGATAGTAATGAGACAAAATTAAAAGGTCCTAGATGAAAACAAAAAAAAATTCAAGTTCTTAAAATTTCAAGAAAATGACCTAAACTTGGAAAAATTAGGCTTTATGACCCATATTGCCACCCTTACTTGCTTGACTTGTGGAAAACACTATCAATCATAGTCACCAGTCTTTTCCACTGAGATGATAGGGATTTTTTCTCGATTGTTGGTGAGTTCTCCGCTCGTAATCCAGGGTGTGAACACCCTCTACATCCACCAAGTACAGGCTATCGACTGAAGAAGCTGTCATATCTGTTCCCCAAATCCCACAATCACATTTTTCACACCCTCACAAACATACCAGTCACACCAAAGTAGAAGGCTAAGCGAGAAGCATAAGAGAAAAAAGAACCATTCATTCTTGGAATTTGCCACTCTTGCCCTTATTCAATCCTGAGAGTGAGTGTCTCCTTCAAGTTACTTCCTACAGCTCTTACACTATTCCAGGTCCACCCCTTCCACTTCTTACCCCTTAATTCTTCTATGTGTATGTTCAGGTGAGAAAATGAGAATCCACACATTGTCCTCAAGATTCTGGAAGGATGAATTAAATAGCCCTGTGTGTATGCATTCAAGTTCCCTCAGTCTTCACCAATCCTGACTTCAATCCTCCCTGACTCTATTTCTTCTCTTTTCAGGAAAATTCCAAGTCCAGGGGCCTCATCATCCTGGGTGACACATCTGCATAGTGAAGCAGATCTGCCCTGATCCCTTTTGCCTACTCAGAATGCTCAGCACATGAATGTAAGTTGGTTCCACTCTCTGCCTTCCCAAATGGTTCACCTGTACTAGGATGGGCGGGACCATTTTAAGGAAGCCATGGAGTAGTATTCAGGGAGAACAAAGCTTGTGAGGAACAATGCACATGAAAGGATTATGATCCTGAAGATCCTCTGTGACCAGCCTTCTGACAATAGATTGTATCACTGTAGCTTCCAACATGACACTACAATGATTCACCAGTTTTGCCACATGTAGCAGGTAATGGCCAGGCTTCAGTCCACAGGTGTGAGTTCACTAACACAGACTTACTTCTCTGATGCATGGATTTGTGTATTTGTTGGAGAATGGGACTTAATTAGTCCTTCATCCTGACTAATTACTCCCCTACCACTGTTTGGATGGGACCCCTTCAGGGTTTAAGCTAAGTCTACTTTAATAATAGAGTCGTGGCAGGAGTTGAGAAATGCTCAGGGGCCATTTGTATTGGACTGAGTGGGACTCATCTCTTGTCTGGTGGTCCAGATCCCTATTCTGTATTGCCAAGACTTCTTCAGAGCCTGCTTTGTATTCTATACACTGGTATCCAGTTAACAGCCCTAACTTTTCAGGAGGAGCACAAACATGCGTAATTGAAAAATGGGGTTATGACCTAAAACCCTCTCTCATATCAGGTTTAGGTCATACCCTCACTTCCTTGTTGAGATCATCAAAGCCAGAGAAATGCTATTGGAGGGCAAATCAGAGGGTAGGTTTCCTCAGCCAAAGATCCAGTGGACAAACACTCCAGGAGAGGAAATTCCATCAGATTCTGAGTCTCAGATCCAGAACAAAAGTGAATTGCTCCAGGTAACTTTATCAGTGCTGCTCAGAAATCCTGTTGAGATTAATGTGATTTGTTCTGTCTGGAACACAGTCCTGAACCAGCAAAAAGAAGATCAACTGTCAGTGGCAGGTCAGTTTTCTCTCTTGCCTTACTAAATCTGGCACCTTGGTAGATTTAACTTCTTAAAGAATTGGACTCTTTTTCGCAAAACACCATTATCAAATCCTTTCTTTGGATCTCAATATACCTGCTCCTTCTGCTTCTCCTTTTCAAGGTTCATCCATATATATCTATATAGATATATCTATCAATATATAGATATACATCACTATTTTTTTAATTTAATTTTATTTTATTTGAGAACATACTGTACAGAGGGGTTACAATTACATGGGCAGGATAATGCATACATTTCTTACCAAGCATTGCAGCCTCCTCCTTTGTTTACCCTTCACCTCCCTTCCCAGCCTCCCCCCTCCCCCCCACCCAATCATACCCCCCCCTCCCCACCCCCACACCGACATTGTAAAGCTGGTTTTGACATGACATTTTGTACTTCTCATTGTTGCAACAGGTCCACCTGAGTCCTTAAACGACTTGTTTGTCCCCATCTCCTCCACATGTTATACTGACATCAAATATAGTGAAAGCAGGGGTTACACTGTGGGGGAGGGACATACAAAGCAACAAAGAAATAATCTTATAAATGCGTTAGAAACACATGCATGAAAGAAACAAAAACATTAAAATACATATTTTAGGGTTCGTTTTCCTAACATCACATTATCTGACTTTTTCCGCTTGACTCATACCTATACTAGATATTGCAAATAAGGGAAACCATGAGACCTATGTTTCTTTGGGCCTGGCTTACTTCACTTAATATAATTTTTTCCAAGCCTTTCCATTTCCTAACAAATGGGGCAATGTCATTCTTTCTGATGGAGGCATAGAATTCCATTGTGTATATATACCACATTTTCTTGATCCATTCATCTACTGAGGGGCATCTGGGTTGGTTCCATATCTTAGCTATGGTAAATAATGCTGCAATATACATCACTATTTTGATGGATCTTTCTTCTACCTAAATGTCACCATGAAAAAAAAATGCCATGCCATGAATGGTTGGGACTGGTGGCTCATGTCTAAAATCTTAGCTACTTAGGAGGCTGAGATCTGAGGACCAAGGTTCAAGGATAGCCCAGGCAGGAAAGTCTATGAAACTCATCTCCAATTAATCACCAAAAAAGCCGGAAGTGGAATTGTGGCCCAAGTAATAGAGTGGTAGTGTTGAACACAAAAGCTCAGGAACAGCCCTGAGTTCAAGCCCCAGAACTGGCACATACAATGCTGATTGCTAACCTACGAACATTTTTAACTTTTGTCTTTTTTTTTTTTTTTTTTTTTTTGGTACTGGGGACCAAACCCAGGACGTTGCACTTGCTAGGCAAGCGCTTTGCCACTGAGCTACATCCCAGCCCTAACCTACGAACATTTGCTCAATATGCTGCATAAAATCTCTTGCATAAAGGTTTCCAGACCTTTTATAACTTCTCCAAGAAAGATTGGAGGGTTCATCCTTCTTTTCTGCTGAATCTCTTTTCCATTTCCATACTGTTCACAGTATGTTTTTCTTATCTGTGGTTACCCAAGAATGTGACCACACTTCTCAGAGGTTGTGTGCTTGTGAAAAGCAGCACTTCTGGAACAAATGATCATATTTAGTATATCTACTGTTTCCAATATTTATGTCTTCAGTCATAGCATTAATTTAATTTTTAATTTAAGTTCTTATTTAATGTTATTATATTTATTTTAATACTAGTTCTCATCATCCAGATTAGCTTCAAATTTGTGATCCTCCTATTTTAGACTCCTAAGTACAAGAATTAGACATGTGCCACTTTGCCTGGTAATATTTTAAAAGTAAATTTTCATCAATGTGAAACATGAATTTTGTCAGACTTAATTGTTGTTATTATTTTAAACATATTTAAAATATTTATATGTAGAATCATATGGTATTAATATATATTTAAATTAAAGCCTTCCAAATAAAAGGGATGTCTTTGTGTTAAGAAAATATTTAAAATATGAAAACAAAGCAAGAAGCTTACTTTTTTGAAAAGTTACACTAAAACATTATCAAAAATACTTATCAAATTTAAAAGTATACTTTTAAAGGCTGAGAATGTGGCTTGGTGGTAGAGTGCTTGCTTAGCATGCATGAAGCCCTGGGTTCGATTCCTCAGTAACACATAAACAGAAAAGGCCAGAAGTGACACTGTGGCTCAAATGCTAGAGTACTAGCATTGAGCCGAAGAAGCTCATGGACAGTGCCCAGGCTCTGAGTTCAAGCCTCAGGACTGGCAAAAAAAAAAAGGTTTTATGTTTTTATTACCATAAAGGACATGAAATTAGTACTCTTCCTTTATATCTCTTTTTTTTCTTATTTTTTCTTTTTTTTTATGTTTAGACAGGGGAGAGCGCACACGCAGTCTCCCACTATCAGAAATTATGCAGCCGCCTTTCCCCATGTGAGGAAATCACAGAGGTCAGTGCATCCCGAGTGCAATGGACATGCTTCACCCTGAGAAAGGCACCTGCATGATCCTGGTGTTTCCCCAACAGGTAAATATATATATATATATATATATATATATATGATTTCTTTTTTTATAGAACCAGAATTGTTATCCTACTTCCCCTCATTTCTAAGTTTATTATCATCACCTAAATGAATTGATTTTTCTTGTTGTTGTTGTTGGTCATAGGGCCTGAATTCTAGGCCTGGGCGCTGTCCCTCAGCTCTTCAGTTCAAGGCTAGCACTCTACCACTTGAGCCACAGAGCCACTTCTGGCTTTTTCTGCTTATGTGGTGCTGAGGAATCGAACCCAGATCCTCATGCATGTAAGGCAAGCACTCTACCACTGCACCACCTTCCAAGCCCGATTCATTGATTTTTATTGAGGTGATTTTTACACAATTCTATTTTTTTCTTTTTTTTTTTGGCGGGGGCGGAGGGGGGTCCGGTCGTGGGGCCTGAACTCTGGGCCTGGGCACTGTACCTCAGTACTTCAGCTCAAGGCTAGCGCTCTACCACTTGAGCCACAGCAGCACTTCCGGCTTTTTCTTTTTGCTTATGTGGTGCTGGGGAATCGAACCCAGGGCCTCATGCATGCAAGGCAAGCGCTCTACCACTGAGCCACCTTCCCAGCCCCTCTATTTTTTTCTTACTTGTATTCATAACATAGGCTGCAAACAAATTTTCTAAACAAATTTTAAAAACAAATTTTACTGAAGTTACAAATTTTAGTAAAGACTTCATTCCCAGCTAGCAACCTAAGGCTCACACTTGTAATCCTAGCTACTCAGAAAGCTGAGATCTGAGGATTATGGTTTGAAGCAGCCAAGGCAGGAATGTTCATGAGACCCTTCTTTCCAATTAACTAGCAAAAATCCAGAAGCAGAGCTGTGACTCAGAATGGTAGAGCTCTAGCCTTGAGCAGAAGGACAGCACCCAGGCCCTAAGTTCAAGCACCAGTACTGGCACCAAAAAAAGAAAAGAAAAAATACTCCATTCGCTCATATATAGAAATTTAAATATTTTCTTTCTTTAGTATTTTCCTTTTTTTGTCAATCATGGGGCTTGAACTCTAGGGCTGGGAAGGTGGCTCAGTGGTAGAATGTTTGCCTCGCATGCATGAGGCCCTGGGTTCAATTCCTCAGCACTACATAAGCCGAAAAGGCCAGCAGTGGTGCTGTGGCTCTAGTGGTATAGTACTTGCCTTGAGCTGAAATGTCAGGGACAGAGTCCAGGCCCAGAGTTCAGGCCCCATGACTAGTCAAAAAAGAAAAAAAAAAAAGAAAGAAAAAAGAAAAAGAAATATGGGGCTTGAACTCTGGGCTTGTGCACTGACCCTGTGCTCTGCACCTCAAGGTAAGTGCTCTACTGCTTGAGCCACAGCCCCACTTCTGGTTTTCTAATGGTTTTATTGGAGGTAAGAGTCTCATGGACTTTCCTTCCCAGGCTGGCTTTGAACCATGATCCTCAGAGCTCAGCCTCCTGAGTAGCTAAGATTACAGGCGTGAACCACCAGTGCCTGGCTAATATTTTCTTTGTGTATTTTCATTTGTACTCATGGCTACAGTCTAGCACTAACAGAATTGACAGTGAAGTGTAAATAAAGGAAATGTCCTCAGATATGAGTAATGTAACTTTCTAATTGACATAATCTTTATGTTATTAGAAACATACTAACATGAAAACATTGAAAAAAGTGCTATCTATGATAACCAGAAAGATTGGACTTAAGTTCTAAGGTTTTCTCATAATGTATAGAAGAAAAATTTTGGATGTTTAATACTTAGAAGTACAAAGAAAAAGAAATTTTTCCATAAAGATAGTGGTTTTATTTCTATTTTTTCCTATTAACAAACCCATCTTTGAGATAATATTATACTTTATATTAGATGTATGGACAGAAAGGGTCCAGTAGGGATGGCAAAAGGCAAAGGTGACTTGGGCCCAGGAATAGAGAGAAAACAACTTTAAATCCTTCCAGTTTTTTATACTTTCATCAGTTTGCACTGGCTTTTCAGCTCATAAATTGCTCTATTCTTTGGTTCCACCATTAGCATGGTCTAAATTCCATGGTTGATGATCAAATCCACTCTCTTGTTAATATTCTCAACTCCATTGCACTCTGCTTACTGCAATTACTACATTTCAGAACCGAATTTATTTTCTGAAACTGTGAACTAAATACGATATCATTTGAATGCAGGCATGCACTTACTAATTAACCGTAATTTGAGAGGGAACTAGAGGTGGAGAGAGAATCCTCAGGAATATAACTCTTGGAGGCAGTATTTGGAAAAACAGGAGATGTTTGCGAACAACTCTGTCTCTTGATGCTGACAGAGACTATTTGAATTTCAGTTACTGAGTCCTACAATCACTGGCTCTCCATATGGACAGCTTTGGTGACAGGTTTCATACCGTGGATTTCCATACTTATTGGATTTTATTTTTACAAAAGGAGGAAACATGTAGCTAAAGGTAAAAATATCTCTTTCAGTATATAAATATCTCTTCTCAGTGTTATCTGTTCCTTACCTTTCTGCTTAGAAACAAGGTTAATATTTGCAAAATGTATGCTCAAAGGAAACATCATATCTATAAAGTATAGTATATACCTTCTGCAAGGACCTTTGTGTGTATTAAAATAACTAATTTACATAAAACACCTTACACTGGATCAATACCAAAGGCACAAAAGGAGCTTGTTATTATTGTTGCCATCATCATTATTAATCATTTTGGGGGGGAAAGGAGTAGGAAGATTAAAAAGCGATGAAAAAGATAAGTCAAATATTCATGTTATATTAAGTATTCATGAGTTCCTAAATTAACCACCATGGGTGATAGTCATTATGACATGTACATGCTCTGTGCAAGAAACAGAAATAAAATCCAAAAGTGCTCATTAGGCCAACCAAAAAATGTAGGTCTACTTTCCCCTGCAAGTGTGTATATTAATCCAAGGAAAGACATTGATGAACAGTTCACTGGGGACATCATTTCTAGTCCTTGTACCACACCATCGCCAAAGAAAAGACAGAGAAAAATAGAGCTTATGAACATCATATGGTAGGAGTCATTTAAAATGTTTGCAGATTACCCTGTATGTGTTCATTGAATCATCACTTTCTTTTTTTTTATTTTAATTTTTATTTTTTGTGAACATACTGTACAGAGGGGTTACAATTACATGGGCAAGATAATGAGTACATTTCTTATCAAGCATTGCAGCCTCCTCCTTTGTTTACCCTTCACATCCCTTCCCAGCCTCCCCCCCCCCCACCAAAGTTGTAAAGTTCGTTTTCGACATGACAACTTGTACTTCTTATTGTTGCAACGGGTCCACCTGTATCCTTAAACGACTTGTTTTTCCCCATCTCCTCCACAAATTATACCGACATCAAATATAGTGAAAGCAGGGGTTATACTGTGGGGGAGGGACATACAAAGCAACAAAGAAATAATCTTATAAATGCGTTAGAAACAAATGCATGAAAGAAAAAAAACATTAAAATACATATCTAAGGGTTCATTTTCCTAACATCACATTATCTGACCTTTTCTGCTTGACTCATACATATACTAAATATTGCAAATAAGGGAAACCATGTGACCTATGTTTCTTGGGGCTTGGCTTACTTCACTTAATATAATTTTTTCCAAGCCTTTCCATTTCCTAACAAATGGGGCAATGTCATTCTTTCTGATGGAGGCATAGAATTCCATTGTGTATATATACCACATTTTCTTGATCCATTCATCTACTGAGGGGCATCTGGGTTGGTTCCATATCTTAGCTATCGTAAATAATGCTGCAATAAACATAGTTGTGCTGGTAGCTTTAGTGTGGTCTTGTTTGTAAACATTTGGGTAAATGCCCAAAAGTGAGATTGCTGGGTTGTAGGGGAGCTCTATGTGAAGTCTTTTGAGGAACCTCCATACTACTTTCCAAAGTGGTTGAACAAGTTTACATTCCCACCAACAATGAAGTAAAGTTCCCTTCTGTCCGCTGAATCATCACTTTCTTTCCCTTTGCTTTTTACTATATCTCTTAACCTGGTTCAATTAACTGTTCAATTGATGTGGAAGGACTCATCTGAACACTAGATCCCTGATCACATCATGACATTGTTAAGACACACGGTAGCCCCTGAAAATGAGCTCTCTCCCTTAAACCTTGATCTTAATATTCCTGCCCATATCTACAATAAACTTGCTTTCTCAGGATGCTGTTTCACATATTCAAACTGTTTCAGTTATTGGAGATCAAGCCAAAGGTATGGGATGGCAACCACATCTGGCCTTCTGAGATATTAGTACTGAGAACTGGCCAGAAATGTGTGAGATGGTCCCCAAATCCTTGCACTGGCAAGCTATCTCAAGTCTTCATGTCACCTTCCTGATGATGTCAAAGGACTGTAGTCATTATTTCTGCTGAGCACAATTAAGTCTTCAACATGCTTCCCAGTAATGAAAGCTACAGGCTGCTCCATTCTAATTGCTATATTGTGGTATTTCAGTGTTATACGAATATGCCATTACTAGTAATATATGATGCTAGTATGATTGTATGATGATGGTGTGATTGTATGATTATTTGTAATTGTATATATCTTTGGAAATGTATGTCCAGGTCTTTCACTTGTGTAGTGAATGGGTTTTTCTCTTATTGATATTTAAGAAAATTTTCTTTTATATTTCAGATACAATTTTTTATCAGATATTTATTTTTCAGGTAGTTTGCCCCAGTTTGAAACTTTTTTTAGTGATTCTCAGAACAGTGTTTTGTACTTGTTTTGTTTTTGTTTATGTATGTGTGTATGTGTGTGCCAGTCCTGATGCTTGAACTCAGTGCCTGGGCACTGTCTCTGAGCTCAAGGCTAGCAGTTTTACTATTTGAGCCACAACTCCACTTCTGGCTTTTTGTGCCAGTCCTGGGATTTGAACTCTAGGCTAAAGTTTTAAATTTAAATGAAGTCCAAATTATCTACCTTTCTTTTTATTGATAATGTAGACACATGGATACAGAAGGTCAATTGTTTCAATTCATTTAA